TTTTCTGCTGCAACTGCCAAAAAGGCACCGTTACATATTTTTGCAAAAAAAACAAAAGGAAGAACCTCTGGAAACTGGGGGTCTTGGTGGCTTTCGCCAGATGCCCAGGCTGCCTTTCACTTGCACATTGCCGCCTGGAGACAGCGCGGTTGGCCTGGGTCACGCCCCACCTGGAGTTGGCAGGAAACTAAATTCATTCCCCCAAAGTCACCAGGACTTCCCGGGAAGCTGCAGCCACCCTCAGTGCCAGGTGAGCGTTTTCTTTCTTTCTGAGACGGAGTCTCGCTCTGTCGCCCAGACTGGAGTGCAGTGGCACAATCTTGGCTCACTGTAACTTCTGCCTCCCAGGTTGAAGTGATTCTCCTGCCTCAGCCTCCTGAGTAGCTGGGATTACAGGTGTGTGCCACCACGCCCGGCTAATCTTTATATTTTTAGTAGAGACGGGGTTTCACCATGTTGGTCAGGCTGGCCTCGAACTCCTGACCTCATGATCTGCCCACCTCGGCCTCCCAGAGTGCTGGGATTACAGGCATGAGCCACCGCACCCCGCCCAGGTGAGCATTACCTATGGTCAGGATGCTGTTTGCTCTTCAGTGTCTCTGCTTCCGCCACCCTATCCCCATCTCCAAGGGGCAGAGGCACGCCAGGGCCTTCCTGCAAGGCCTGAACTGAATAGGACAAGAGCCTGCGCCCACATAACTACCTAATGACACACAATAAATGCCCAGCCTGGATGGCTGTGCCAGGTAGAGCCGCCCAAGGCCACATACCTGTTTCCCAGCACCTGCTCTCTACACCGAGGGACAGGAAGTGCTCAAGGGAGACTCGTGAGGGGCTTAGCCTGCCCATCCCTGCCGAAGAGTTCTGAGGATCGGGCCCAGCCCCCAGCCCCTGAGTGTGGAAGTCCCCGTGGGGACAGCAGGAAAGCAAGGGACATTAAGGGAATCCTCTGATGTTGTCCTGACCTCGACTTCGCTTAACCCGAGCCTGGGTTTTCTCCCCCAGCGTTCTGGTGTTTCATGACAGTCACCGGCTAGAGGCTGGGCCATGGCCCTTCACGAGCGGGTGAGAAAATCAAACCCCTTTGCTCCCGGATGTCCCTGTGGAATTCTGCAGACGGACTGGGGTGAGAGGTGCGTCCCTGCGAGGAGGTGGGCACAGGCACACACCAGGCGAGGCGTGCTGTGTCTCCGTCTCTAGCATTCATAGCTTGTTTGGGAGTGGGGGTGAATGACTTTCTCTGCTTTCTCTTCCAGGGTGTTTTTCCTCTGCACCTGTTCGCTTCCTGGCGGTGGCTCCTCTTCCGGTGACAGTGCGTGGCTCCTGCCGGCAGGAATGGCAGTGACGTGTGCTCGAGACGTCTTCCAGCCCTTTGTCACCCTGGTCTTCCTGCAGCTCCCGCTGGCCAGCATCTGTCACAACTGCTGGACAGACCCCTGTGCAAGTGGAGGCAGGTGCCCTGGTGTGGGGGGGGGGGGGCGTGTCCAGCATGGCAGGAAGCTGAGGCCTCTCCCCGGCAGTTCAGGGCTCAAGAGGTCCTCCCAGCTTCCGAGATGAGGGAGGGGCAGGTGGGGGAACCCCTGGCCTCCCCACATATGGCCTAACCCAGCCCTTTCTGATCTGCTCCCCCAGGGAAAGCCAACTTTGACGTCATTGGGCCTCAGGCTCCTATTCTGGCCATGGCTGGGGGACAGGTGGAGCTGCAGTGCCAGCTGTTCCCCAGTGTCAGCGCTGAGGACATGGAGCTGAGGTGGTACAGGTGCCAGCCGTCCCTGGCTGTGCACGTGCGTGAGAGAGGGATGGACGTGGATGAAGAGCAAGTGCCACAGTACAGGGGAAGGACCACCTTCGTGAACGACCACGTGGCAGCTGGCAAGGCCACCGTGAGGATTCACAGCGTCACCGCCTTCGACAATGGGACGTACTGCTGCCGCTTCCAGGATGGAGCGGAGTTCGGGGAGACCGTGGTGCAGGTGCAGGTGGCAGGTGAGGCCGGGGGCTAGCTGGCTGTCAGCCCCACTTCTGGGCACGGCCTCGGGGCCCAGCGTGTCCAGGTGGAGGGTTTCAGGAGGGCGGGAGTGAGCCCTCCCAGCTGCTCCCCAGAAGCACAGCTGTGAAGGCAGGCCACCTTCCTCATCTTCCTTCCCTCCTTGCACCATTTGACTGGAAAGTGGGGAAGAAAGGGAAGAGAAAGAGAGAGATGTGGAGAATGAAAGAGACAGAGCTGGACAGAGAGGACGAGAGAGAGGCAGGGAGACAGACAGGTGGAAAGAGAGGCGGAGAAAAAGAGAAAGATAAAGAACGACAGAGAGAATGACAGAGACAGGGAGAGAGAGATGGAGAGAGAGGGGGATAGAGACAGAGACAGAGAGACAGTAAAAGCGA